CTAACGGAGCTTATTAGAAATCAACGCAAAAAATCTTACATTAATTTTTTTGTGAAAAATCTCTTCCATCCCTCGACTTTGGAGGGCGGTGAAAAAATGGAGGTTGTATTTCATTATTCATTTTATTATAAAAACTATTTCAAGCCAAGTAGAATAAACACTGAAAATTTCAGGTTGCTACGATGAATGTATCCTGTCACATTCGTTGTTCTGATACGATAAGTAACGCAATAGAATAATTACCACCTACAAGTACAGAACCTATTGTGTTTAGCCGCTCTTTATGGTGATTTACCGACAAATGTGAAAGATAATTTAATTTGACTAACTTTTAATGAACATGTTCGAAATGGCCTCCATTATTTTTTATACACAAGCACAAGCTTTGAACTGAATTTGCGTTTTCCATAATTTTTATTTTTGCTTCATCAATTTTCTGGCGCAGTAGGTTGACATTTGTATATTCAGATGCATAGATTCTCCCCGTATAAAACCTCCATATAAAAAAATCTAGGGGATTTAAATCGGGTGACCTTGGAGGCCATCGTATGTGTCCACCTCTACCTATCCAACGAGCAGGAAAGGCACTGTCTAAGAAATGCCGTACATCTCGTGCAAAGTGGCATGGGGCACCATCGCATGAAAATACATGCGGCTTCGAATGTCCAAAGGTACATCCTCTAGCAGCTCATGCAAACTGCTTTGTAGAAAAGTAAGATATGACTGACCATTCAACCTGGTGGGCAATTCATATGGTCCAATTAATTTTTTGCTGAGTACTCCAGCCCATAAATTAATGCCGAACTGGCGTTGAAAGCTGTGTCGGCGAATAGCGTGTGGATTTTCCACGCTCCATGAATGGAAATTGTGCATGTCGAATATTCCATTTCGGTTAAAGTTGGATTCATCTGTCCATAAGATGCTGCCGAAAAAAATTTCATCCTCTTCGCACTTTCTCAACATATTCTCATAAAATTCAACCCGTTGTGCATAGTCGCTTGGAAGCAATTCTTGTACTTTTTGTACATGGTAAGGATGCATGTTCTCCGAGCGTAGTATTGTGTGCACTGAAGTATGGGATATGTTTCTGCTTCGGGCAATGGCTCTGGTGCTTATAGAGGGATCTCTCTCGACTGCTTCTGTTATATCTTCTATTTCTTCTGGGCGTATCCTCGGCGCTCCTAGCTGACGATGAGTGCCTAGTATGCGGCCCTACGTATTATGGACGCGTAGAAGAACACGGTAGTCGAGATATACCGCCGGTTGTGGTCCTCCTCTGCTAACCACATACTCCCGATACATGCGAGATGCGAGCAGCTGCTCGGTCATTTCCTAGGGAAGCACCATAATAATAATGCATTTCTGCATAATCTCGCAGAGAATGTGACATGATTCTACTCAGATGCCAAATGTTTGTTACAGCTCATCTCAAAAAACAAATCACAGCCCTAAGCCTAATGGTTTAGTTGTAGTTACTATTGAAAGTTCATTATCCCGTTTTTTTTTTCGAAATTTCACAAAATTGCAAATATCTCCTGAACCAGAAAATTTCGGACCACACATATAGGGATTGATTCTATATGATTTGAGGCCATCTATCACCTGACTCCCGTTGATCCACTACTAACCTCACACCCTGTATATCTTTATGATGATTTGTTTTGATAACCGATATCAATTTTTTACTGATTTATTATATATTATTATAATTTCCACGAGTACTAAAGGCTATGGACTTGATAATGTCGAATAATTTTGTCAAACTCCGAGTAGTTTTAAATATCAAGTTCTCGATCTTTTTTGCGGTCTCATCTGTATTTTAACAATTACCTACTATAGTGCGTTATTTACAACACAACATAACGAGCAATAATAAACAAACATTGAATTTTTGGCTTCATGGCCACTAAAATAGGATCGTGTTACAGCTAATTTATAGCCAAATCAGATTCAATAAAAATTTCATAACGGCAACGAATCTATTGATTGTTGCCGTATATATGTTTTTCGTAGGATCGTAATTCTTTCAACAGAGTATTAATATCTACTGGATTGAGACATTATTTATCGGAAAAATATTCGGATTTTATCTTGAATTACATCTACATAATTTGCTGCAAAGAGATAAAAATGATGTTCAGTTATAATCGAGTATTTTCCTAACAAAGTCACATTCTTATTCGGAAATAGTTAATTATATTTATCTCTTGATTTTCAAAGTGGATATCGGTACCAAGTATTAGATATTACTCCAATAATATCAGGGATTGACAATAACAAAATTAGCTTAATTATGGTGTCACGTACACTGACTTTGCAAATCATATCCGCCACCACTAAACCGAATTTAATTTTTATATATGTCCAACATTACATCTCTCGAAACTTTTTCAAAATCCCTGCAGTACTCAGCGCAAAGCGTTTTTATGTTGTACTCATCACGCGTCTAAACAAAACTTGCTAACTGAAAATGTTCCTTCGATTTTTATGCGCAAAATGATTAAAAAAATCGTAAATTCAGAAATCTACTTCGAAAAGGGTTAGCATGTTTGGTTCTGCTAGTGTCACATAGATGGCGCTAGGATCTTCAATCCCTTCGTCTCTCGAATGTCTATTTTAACTGGGTATCTTCAGGCATTGATTAACGTATTCCACCTGGAGATACGCAATTTAAATAGTCATTAGAGATACGCCAAAAATGGATTGAAGGACCTAGCATCATTTATGAAAAAGTAGCAGACCTAAAGACTCTCTTTCCAAATTGGATTTCTAAATTCATTTTTGTGTTTGGCTGATGTCTGATAGATAATATAATAATGCTTCATTTAACTTTACATACAAAAGCAAAACAACAATACCGCAAAAGTACAAAAATTACCCGAGAGGAATTTTTCAACTCGACCTTAAAAGATGATGCTTTCTGATCCCTTTTTGAACGCCGTAATACAGTGTATGGTTAGTTTATAATTTGATACCAACAGCATTTTCCAATGACATACATTGGTGAAATTTTGCATTTAACTGATTATCGCAATGCCAAGAAAAGTGCAATAGGGAATATGGATGATTTTTCAAATTGTTTATCGTTACGTTAATATAATATCGTGAACACTTATTTCATTCATAGAAACGCCTATATTTATTTTTAATTAATTATTGCGATGTCAATGACGATCATTTGAACGCAGCATTTTTGGCGCGCTTGGCTATGACGTCACCGTCCCCGACATGTCATTTGCTTACCTTTTTTTTGTTAAGTTACTGTTGAGTTTTTGATATACCATCTGTTTGCAAAATTATAAAGTATTTATAGATTATGCTTAGTTCTAAAAATCACATTGGAAAGCTGGAACATCAAACTGACAGGTTAGCAGTCAATGACAGTGCCATTTTAAATCCAACTTTTGTTAGTGGATACTCGTAATTTTATAGCGGTCAAATATAAAATAAAGTTGAAGGCATCATATAGCAATATAGACTGTAAAACAAATAATTAAGCGATATTGAATCACGTGAGTATTGACTATTGTGTGTACTTATGTTTTGGTTAACTTATTTGTTTGATGTACTTGACCTACTTATCGTAATTTTTTACTTCCACAAATTTTGAGGAAGCTGTGAAAGTAGGATGTAGGAGAGAAACAGTAAAAACTGGGAACTGTTGATATATTATGACTCGATATCTCGTCGTGCACTGGAAAATATCTTGAGGTCTAAGAGCCGCTGACACAAAAGCCTCGTATATGTTAGGAAAAAGTTTTTTTACTCCTAGGTGCTCGAGCATTAACGAAACATAAATCCCTTGGAAAGATGTCCGCATCGCACATCTGACAGAAGCATTTTTGTTTTGTGGGGGGGAGGGAGGTTATCAAAGACGAACTTACCCATATCAAAGATACATACTCCGTTGGCTGACATCCCCCCCTTTTCATTTTGCCCGCGTTTTAATTTGCCGCCGCGAGAATGGAGATCGAATACACATGTTAATAGGGAAAATTAAACCAAAAAACAAAAGATAATCGCTTTTTTTACTATTTGTAATCTACTCAGTGCAAAACATTTTGCAGTAATTTTCCCAGTAGAACACATGATGATAGAGAAAAAAATGCACCAAAGTGTCTAGCAGAATATTCTAAGAAATACTGCAAAAGTGCATACCAGCGGCAAAAGTTTTAGGTTTCAGTGGGAAGATCGAAATCATTTTAAATAATTTTACCAAACTTCTAGGATACACAAAGCCTTCATGTGCTCCAAAGAGCTGAAAGTGTAAACATTTTGATGTTAAGTGTATTATTCGAGCATTTAATTTTAGACGGGCACGCTGCGTCATTTTAAGTAAAGTAAAAATGTGCAAACAATAGATGGGAAGGTCGGTATCTGGGTCGAGATGATGAATAACAGCGAATAAAAATGAAGCATCGAAAAGCAGTAGGCCTCTGGGTCACGATAGTTTATAAAGATTATGACAAATTGCTTCAGGGATTCATTTATCACAAGCTGAAACTTGCCAGATTGCTCGCAGTGCACCTTAATATAAAATAAGTTTTTAAATGTTCTATTCAAATAAACCGAACATAATCTCATTGATGAAACGATCGTGGGTAGTCTAGGATCAACTTAATTGATACCATTTTGGATGGGGATCCCTGTCTGGAAAAACGTGTATCGAAACAAACGGCAAACTACTTGGCAACTAAAGAATAGCACTCATGTTTACAGTATGAGGTGTTGAGTCATCATCAGGAGCTTCAGCAACTATTTTAGTAACTAACATGTTGGCATTAACTTATAAGCACAGTATGATTACTCGAGATGTCCCAATGACAACAAATTTGAGGTTGTTCCGCATTTCGTCAATTACACGATCTACCATTAGTCAAGATGCACCAATATGATGTCCGCAAGGGATGATCAACTTGAAGTATTGTGAACAGGGACTCTAATGTTTAGACTGTCATAACTAAAGACATGACCAAACTGATCATGAATGTTCAACTCACCGGTCTGAACTTTTTTGCTCAAATCAGACGTCCCAGAGCGAAAAAAAGATATAGTGACATCCATCATTTGTCACTAACACAACAAAGACGTCATAAGCACTCGATCATACACTAAACCAAATAAGTCACATCGAGAACCACCCAGATCACTAGACTGGTATGACAAAGAAAACGCGCTGTCACTCAATCACAATGGACGGGCTATTCAAAAAACGAAAAAAGTCACATCTGGAATCCTTCAGGTCACAAATCGAAGAATCACAAAGGGAACGCGAAACACGTGATCACGCAAAGCCTAACACATACGAGATGTGACTCAAATCACAACGGACGGGCTACTGAAAAACGAACAGCAGCTGTTATCAGTAGTTGTAATGTTCTCTCGCGCACATGACACCACTACAAGATATGTCAAGGAGATATAAATTTTTACACTGTTATCAGTGTTGTAATTATCATCAACGTTGCTGTCGTCGCTGTTGTAATTATACACGCCGAATGAAGGTTTTTTCTACTGGGTTTGTTTTAGTCGAATCAGCGATCGAAAGGAGACACCTGATGTCAATAGAAGTTAATGGTCTTTTGTCACCTCGCAACGAAATAGTCTTGTAATCCCGTATACTAGACAACGTGTACTTTTAGACGTTGCATTGTTCAAAAATTCTTCCACTGGTTCTTCTATACCTCTTCGTTGTAAACAGTATTGTGTATGTAACAGCTTTCTCATAATCAAAGTCAAAATACTGACGAATGAAAATAATCGGCGATTACCAATTTCCATGAATGCAGGCTGCACTCAACTCGCGGCATCCACATCGGAAATTACGTGAGAATGATTGCCGAACGACCATTGAGACACAGGCTTATATTTCAGATAGTCAAGCTTCATTATTTTTATTTAAGACAAGTTGAGACTGGTATTTAAGACTGATTAGGTCATGTTCCAAAATCATAATGATAAATGCTAAAATTTCATATTCAAATTAATAAAAGAATATTCTAATTCAGACCCATAGCTTTGTGAAGTTCGGATAACCACAAAGAAATTGATGTTTAAGATTCTGCGTTATTTTATTCGAAAAACATGTTTAACTTTAACACAATTTTCTCGCAATTCAGCACTTCTTACGTGGAAAAATATGTGATAGTTTCCGAGACAACCGCCTCCCACACGAATCTGCGAAATTCAATTTGACACCCTGAACACCTCATGGATTTATCGGAGGAGGCCTTACTGGCTTCCCGTAAATGCATTAGGAGATACAGGAACAACATTTTGTACAATCGTCACTTTTCGGTACTCATTGGACGGTCCATGTCCCAGATTTTGGAATTTGATGGTTGAAGACGTGCCACGGAAGAACTTTGGATCAAAGTCTAGATCAGTGTTTCCCAAACTTATATGATGGGCCTTTTTGAAAATACGACCTCATACTTCACCCTTACTCATCAGTTTCATCATCAAAACCAAAATAGAGGAAAAATAGCGTGCCTAATTTACAAGTAGCAGATGGTTTTTCCAATTTCATGTTTATGATTCAAAAAGTTCAACATTCATTTTAATAATTGCGCTCTGTTCAACTAGACTTATTAATATTTAGTTTTATGTTTCGTTTGATAATTAGTTGTTAATTCTTATTTACGGCGTTATTAAAATAGAAATACATGATTTAACAAAGTAATGTTTTTGTCTTTGGAAATCCCTTGCGAACCCCTAAGTACCTGACTGCAACCTTAGAATAGTTACCACTGAGTTTGGGTGCCTCGGTAGCTCGGTGGTTAGCGAGTCGAGCTATCAACCCGGAGCTCGGGTTCGAATCTCCGCCTCGGAAGCTAATTCCTTGCCATGGATGTTGTTTATATTACGTATGTGGGTGCAATATTAACAGGCACAAATCATCGCTGCATCTAGTTTATTATATCAGTTACCAGTAGATGTCTCGTGGAGTAGAACAGGTTCAAAGGTGACCTAGCTGCTACGCTTCGCTCCCCCACCAGCACTAGTACTACTACCATGATCCTTCCTTGGAAGGCTGATGTCATTTTTAAGGGTATTGTTAGAGAATCAAACAGTTGGTAATTTTATTGGAGATTACGTTAATCAAAGCTATACCAATAATAACGGTCCTTTGAACTAATTTGACAGATTAAACTGAACTAAACTACTGAAATAACTGATTTGTTAATGAGAGTTGTGCACCATCTCAAACCACTTTTTTGACGATATACCAACGGAATTTGTTTTTCTGATTGATATGATTCCGCGGCTTTCAGGAAAATGAACCGCCGAAATATTCGCCGTAAAAGACATACTATCCTAATAAACATAAATGTATTGAAGCATCTACGTTGTAATACACTTAACTGCCAATTACATTTATAACAATAAAATTCATCATGTCTGACACTGCCTGTAGATAATAAATTAAAACTCATAAATTTCGGAATAATTATAATACCGCTACGTTGCTTGTTGTGTTAAATTTAATGAAAATGCACTAAATCATCTGTAATGATATACCTGGTAAACTACTCGTGTAAAAATGTTGGCCCATGGATACTTTTGTTCTGTGTATCTCAATACAGAACAGGATATTATAAAAAGATGGACAATTGAAAAAAAATCACGATTAATAGCGCTTTGTAAACATTTTCGAACTTATCCATTCAAATTTGAATGTTCCTTGGTCTATATTTAAGTGTTTATGAACATTTATGTTTCGCTATCAGGGATGTACAGATTTCATTTTGGTTTGATTTCAGGTTTGGGTAAAGTACCACCACATAAAATGACCTAAGACCAGCATGAACTTGAACATATCGCTTCATCCAATTATAACTTACCAAGTTGTATTGATCCCATAATCTGCGTGGTCTGAATTTTCTTGTAAGTGATCTCTCCCCCCACTCCGACCCTTCTGTGACCGATTTTTCTCTCCCTCTCCTTCTCCCTCTCCGCCTTCGTCTTTGCCACATTTGTCTTTTGGCTGCCCTGAAAAAATCATCCTAATTGAAAAATGATAAATTACATAAAAAAATAGCGATAAATAGGTTAACTATGCACTTCCCACCCAACGCTATCATCAGTACATACAGGATTATATTCGGCACAAGTTAGCTTTTCTGAGGAAAAGGTTAGTTACGAACATTTATATAACAAAAAATTAAATGAATAAGTCCGCCAAAGGCTGCGATCTAAAAATTTCTCTCCTGCCCTACCGACAGTACCGATTATCTGGCCACATTGCTAAGCGTTGCCAGCCAGTCAGCCGTTAGACCCCACGCAGGATTTTGTGCACATAGACATACGGGACGCGTGGGTTGAAACAATTTCTATATCATTCTAAGTTTCAAACTCAAATGTACGATAAACCTGTGTGTGTGTGTAAATATACTAACGCCAAAAAATTGATACAAACCCTCCTCCGTCCCTTACCTCCTCCAATTCCCAATTTTTTATCTTTATGAAAATGTTGTTGAAGGTGATCACGGGCCGTGAAACGTCAAAAAACAAAGCGTTTTTGTCCCTGCCACAAAATTCAGCTCGGCAACAGTACAGCACGGTCGTGTTGTTTTGCATTTCGTTAATTCCGTTGTTTTTGATGAAAATATATCGATTTCAAATTTCGTTTTTCCGCAACATAGTTATGTTCTTGTTGATCAATCAAAAGTGATCAGTAAAAGAGGCGAAAATTATGCCGAAGGGTGTGTTTGACTGTAATTTTGTGCATCTACATAATTCTTACAAACGCGCAAAAACAGTTTTTTGCGCTGGTCCAGCTGGTATCTAGGAAAGAACAGCTCAGGTTGTATTTATTTTACAATAAGTGCATCTATGAACTGTTCGAGCAAAGACCCCAAGATCAATTGAGATAGCTGTATTTGTGCTCTTTGTTAAAAGTGTTTGGACTCTCATCGACAGAATAGAGATTTTGTAAATCTTTTGCCGTGAATGCTGTAAAGGTTTCTCTCAAGTTCCCGAGCTAAGAAAAGAAGTTAAAGAATTGAAACAAAAAGTTCTTCTATTCGTCATTGTCTGTCAGAGCGGTCCGTAGGATCTTTGCTCTTGGTTGAAGTCTTGTAAGTCAGTAGGTCTGTCTGGTCTGGTTGCCCAGATACCAGACAAAGTCAGGGAGAAAGAAGGGAAGAATAAAGGAAGGAAGGAAGGAAGGAAGGAGGGAGAGCAAAGAAAAAAGAAGTGCGTTTGAGAGGTGCCTTGGCATTGCTAATTAGTATTCGGCAATTTTAAATTGATCCTAAAATTAATTTTGGGCTTGGTTGTTGAAGAAAAGTTATAATTTTGGTTGGACCTAAAGTCGCACGATTTAATTTTGTTCACAGTGCGAGTCGCGGCCTTGTGTGCTTGCGAACTTGCTCGACTGTGTCGTCTACTGACTCGCGCAACAAAGTGTTGTTATGCGATTCCGCTTGACTATAACGTAGCTGCGATTGTTGTTAGATGTAGTCCCTTAGGTAAAGGATGTCAAGGTCTCTGTGAAGGGTCTCGTTGGAAACATACCATGGAGCGTTAGTGATTGTATGCAAGGTTCTGTTCTGCAAAACCTGCAGGCTACGCAAATGCGTTTTGGCGAGAAAACACCAAGCCGCACTTGCGTAAGTAATCGCTGGTCTAATAACCATTTTGTATAGCCGAACTTTGTTTATCAAACTTAATTTTGATGTTCTACATAGCATAGGGTAGAGTTGCCGAAACGAGATTTGGAATTTAGTTTTTAACGCTTCAGTGTGCTTCTGCCAGGTCATTCCCTTGTCAAGAGTGACACCGAGATACTTAGCAGAGCTTTCCCATGGTACCTGAGCTCCATTCACTGAAACCTCAGACGGGGCGCCGCTAAGTTTTTTAGCACAATAGATCCGCCCATTCCAATACCTCGTCCACTGCACTTTGCAGCCTGTCGTGAACTAGATCCCCAGAGCACGAATGGGCCACCAGGGCAGTGTCATCAGCAAAGAGATTGATTTCACAGTTGCTGGGGCAAGGGACATCATGAATAAAAAGTGAATAAAGGACTGGTCCAAGAACAGAACCCTGAGGGACACCGGCTTTGATGGCCCGTGTTCTCGACAGAACGTTATTAATTTTGATCCGAAATTTCCTACCCTCGAGGAAGGATTTCAAAAGTTTTAGGAGCCAGAAGGGGAAGCCCTTATGGATCAATTTGTACAGAAGGCCCTTGTGAACACATCTTGTCAAATGCCTTTGAGACATCCAGAAGCAAGATGCCAGTACTTTCGTTACGGGTGAACCCCTTGGTTACTCGTTCAATAAGCCTTATGGCCTGTAGCTCCGTACTATGCTCAGACCGAAAGACAAATTGCACGTCAGGAATCACATTGTGGACTGCCGAGAAATTTTCAAGGTGACGAGCTTAGAAGGAGCTGACAGTAGACTAATGGGGCGGTAATCCTGGGGGAATATCGAACCCACCTTCTTTGGAATCATTATGACATCAGCGGTCTTCCACGCCGTTGGGAAGTGCTGGGTCCTTAGCATGGCATCGATTATTGCCACGAGATAAGTTAAAGACCTCCGCGAAAGTAGCTTCAGCGCCTTATTAGTGATTCGATCCTCTCCAGGTGCTTTACGCACCTTGAGGTCTTTAATAGGACCTTGCAGCTCTGCTGGTCTGCAATGCGGAGTATCAGGAGATTCCGCTGATGTGCCATGCAGCTCTTCAGTTGAGAAATCTTCTGAAGATTCCTCTGAGGAAAAATCACTAAGGGAGGCACTACTGCCACTGACGCCGTTGGCCCTAAAATATCTCCTGACGGATCTTACAATATGTTGCTCCTCGTAGAGGTCATTATCAAGGTCATAGGTGGGAGAGAACTGACTTTCCACTGCATCAGCGAAAACCTCGACCTTTTACAGACTATGCTCTAAGACCGTGGATGAGCGGGAGTTGTTCTCGCTTTCCGTTTCTGAGCGACTTTGCAACTTTCCAGAGAGGAATACTTGAGTCAAGCATCCTCGACATAAAGTCGCTCCATTGCTCATTACGGAATTCATGAAGAGCATTTCTCATTTCATGAACAAGATTCGTTGCTCTGTAAATGTCATCTGGGTGACAAGACCTCTTCGCTTGCTTAATTGCAGCGCTTTTGTCAGAAATTTTCTGACGAATGTCTGCAGGGAGGTGAAACAAAAAGTTAAGGAGTTGCTTGCCAAAACCAATGGTACTGCTACGAGGCCAGAGAGTACCAGTGCGTGAGAATCTTACTCAGCTGCACAGGTCGTCCAGGAAATAACAGACATATGCTCAAGTTGGTGAATATTGACTCTACATCACCTGGTAATAAACACTTTAGGATTGACAAATCCTCATTCACTCGTCCTGTCAAACTAATAATGAACGGCGAATCGAACGAAAATGGCATTCAACGACCTCAAACTAATAAAGAAGAATCAAACTTTCAAAGATATTGTGATCGTGAATGACCATACTCCCATTCAAATGAGAATACAGAAAAATTATAGAAGAGAGAATGGAGAAAGTGACATACAAATCAAATACTTTGAAGGTGTGCCTAAGATTGTGAAAATTAATTCAAATTTAAATTAGAATCACCCATCAGGGCCGCTTATGGTAAGAAAAATGAATTTTCTATTTTTTTTTTCAAAAAATCAGTGGTATGAACTCAAAAACATAAATTCTTTGCTCATGTTATTTTGGCAGAATTTGATTGTTGTGACTGAACAAGGACTAGAGGAGGTGGCGTGTTACTAGCGGTAAACAACAAATTAAAACTTCCCTTAGTCCTGAGTTCCTTTATCCAATCTGACCAAGGGATTGATATTGTTGGTAGTTGC